AACTCAAGATCCTCAGCCAAGATCCTCAACATTTTCAGTCTTTATTTAGTTGCAACTAGTTTCAGCTTCATATTTAATATAGGGTGTGCAGTGATGAAAATCTTATAGAAGTTCTCTGCATGTGAGTACTTTGCAGTGCCTGAGTTTCCAGTCATATTGAGATTTGTAATTATGTCAGTGCTATTAATAACTGCTAGTGCTTCAATAAAAAAGCAAAAAAATTCAGCTGCTATACAGAGTTCTTTTTTAGGAAGGATTTCAAAGAACCCCAAATCATTTATTAAAGTAGGATATTAAATATAATTCCTAAGTTGAAATACAAACTGTAGCAAATAGTTGCAGTTTCTCTGTGTAAACCATTGTGTGGGATTCCAAAAAAAGGACTTGTTTCTTTATAGCACGCTCACCATTCACTTTGACGAAACATTTCATTTTCCACGTTACTTTAAACTAGAGAAATTGTATGTAGCTTTCTGTTAGCAGAAGATGGTGGCGGGACCCCTTATGATCATCAAAGAAGTGTGCTGAGGACCATGGGACTCACATGATCAAAAGCCATGTGGGTGTTGCCTGTGAAAAGGGTAATCAGATAAGACAGAGAAGCTGGGGATGAGCAGTGAAGTAGGTGACATCCAGTTTTCAGGATGGTGAAAACAAAAAGGGATTGGAAGGAGCTCTGTACAGGCAATGACAGATGGAATTCAATGTAACTGCAGGATGTTGCATGTTAGAGCAATCAATTCTAATTCCACATATACACAGATATAGTTTGAAATTGTGTTGGCAGACCTAGAAAAAGACCTTGGAGTTGTAAAAAAAGCCGACTAAACATACAGCAGTGGTGAAACATACAAATTCCATATTAGGGTCATTGAAAAAAACTGTAGTATAGTAATGTCCTTTTACAATTCCCTGATACCTCTGTTCACCACATAAGGATACTGGGAAAAGAACAGAAAAGAGCAACTGTAATAATCAAATGCTTGTGAAACCTGCCTGGGAAGCAAGGCTGAAGTGTCTGGCCATTGGGGGTTTGAAAAAGAGTAACTGAGGTGTGAAATGATGTTGCTGTATAACATTATGCACAGTACAGAGGCAGTGGACAGAGAACAACTTTTATTCCTTTCAACCCACATACCTTCGGGACTGCCTCTCTCAGTATGCCCCAAGAAGAGCATTACACTCAGGAACGAAGAACCTCCTGGCGGTCCCCAGCCTGAGAGAGATTCGGCTGTCCTTGACCAGAGCCAGGGCTTTCTCTCTGCTGGGGAACATCCATGCCCTGCAGAAGTTGTTACCTTTCTGCAGGGCATGTTCCACCAGGCATTCCGTTGAGGACAGTGATGGTACAGCATGTAGATCAAGGTGGGCAGCTGCGTTGGTCTGAAGCAAAAGAACAGAGCAAGAGTCTAGTGGGGCACCTTTAAGGCCAACAAAGTTTTATTCAAGGTGTGAGCTTTCGTGTGCATGCCCACTTTGTCAGACGATGAAATGGAATGACAGATCATAGTTGTATATATAGGGGCAGCTTGTTAAATTAGTATACAAAATAGTGAAAATATTTTTAACACATCAAAAGAATGACAGGCTCGGTTTGTGGTTACCATCTGTTTGGGTTCAACTGGGGGGGGAAACAACATAGGTAATAAGTATGTCAAAACTGGAGATTGATGTGCCCTAAATTGTGAGAATCCCATCCATTTCCTTTCTAGCATAGAGGCGAACTTTAGAGCATCTTGGATGTGTAGAGTATTTTCCTTGTCCCCAAAACAGAGAACTACATTTAAATCTACCATTCCAAATCGCATTACATATTCTATTATATTCTTAATTGTTAAGAGTAGTAATAACATTTTGCTTCACTAAAACATGGAGTTAACTGACAGAATCCTTTTCCTGGGGTACAATGTTATGTCAGAGATCAACAAGATATTGCATTGCATTACAATCACTATTATAGTATACTATTTCAAAACGAAAAGAAAAGAACAGAAAAACATCAAAATATAGGGGATGTATAGCCCTTCTTGGAGAGAATACATGTGTGAGGATTGAATGAGTTAGCATATGTAATGGGATTAGGGGTCATTTGGGGCCAGAGCGCACCGAAGCACCACTCCAACAGCCCAGGAGCAAGCACAAATGACGGTGGTGGCAAGCTCCCCGCCCCCAAGCTCTTTTTCTCTAGAGTTGCGCCGTCATTGTATTCTATGGCCCCATAGAATATAATGGAAAGATCATGCCACCACTGTGGCGTGACTCTAGAGAGAAGGGGTTTAAACTTTAAACCCCTTCTCTCTTTGCTTCCCCCCCCCCGCGCACAGGGCTGGGGAAGGGGAGACTTTTGAAGATGCTCCCCCTTTTTGCTTCCCCTTCTGACATCAGTTCCGGTGATGTCAGGGTATGTGGCATATGCTAATGAGCTGTTATGACAATAGGTTATTAGATATGCTAATGACCTCCTGCAGCTCTTTTTCTACAAAATGACCCCTGAATGGGATAAGAAACAAGTATCCCTATTAAGTCCTGGTGGGGTGTTTGTTTTGAGTGTTATGATAACTTGTAATTCAGCTATTTCCCTTTCCATTCTGTTCCTGAAGTTCCTTTGCAATAAAACAGCTATTTTGAGGTCAGCGATTGATTATGCTGGAAGGCTGAAATGTCCCCATAAAGGTTTCTCAGTTTTGTGATTCCTGATGTCAGATTTGTGTCCATTTATCCTTTGGTATAGGGTTTGTCGTGTTTGTCCTATGTAGAGAGCCAAAGGGCAGTGGTGGCATTTAATGGCATATACAATGTTAGAAGATGAGCAAGTGAATGCACCTGAGATGGTACAGCTGGTGTTGTTGGGTCCAGTGACTGTGTTGGCAAGGTGTATGTGGCAGCAAAGTTGGCATCTGGGTTTTTTAAAAGCTCTGGTACCAGTGTCCATGTTCAAATTATATGTTGCATTATCATGGGTGAGGAGTTGTTTGAGATTGGGGGGTTGTCTGCACGCAAGAAAAGATTTACCTCCCAGTATTTGTGAAAGAGAACTGTCATTGTCCAGTAGGAGTTGTAAGTCATTGATGATGCATTAAACTGTTTTGAGTTGAGAGCAGAGTTCCCTCTAAGCTGAGTTAGTGTGAGCTAGCTCCCAGTTTTTTAGCCTCCGGCTCACACATTTCTGTCTCAGCTCAGGAAGGAGGGCTCCAGAGCAAACTAATTTATGCAGCAGCCAAATCACCTGCTCACAACTTTAACGCCGGTAGCTCACAAAATAGAATTTTTGCTCACAAGACTCCACAGCTTAGAGGGAACATTGGTTGAGAGTTATATGTCACCACAAGGGGTGTTCTGTTATTGTCTTTTTGCAGCTTGTCTTGTAACAGGTTTTCTCTGGGTACCATTCTGGCTTTTTTAATCTGTTTCCTGACTTCATCAGGTGGATACTTTAGTTCCAAAAAGATCTGTTGTATCTCTGTCTGTAAGACTGGAACAGATGTGGCTGTACTAGTGTTCCCAGCCTCCAGGTGGGCCCTGGAGATCTCCTGCTTTTACAACTGATCTCCAGCTGACAGAGATCAGCTCCACTGGAGAAAATGGCTGCTTTGAAGGGTGGACTCTATGGCATTGTACCATGCCGAGGCCCCTCCCCTCCCCAAATCCTGCCCTCTCCTGGATCCACCCCCAAAGTCTCCAGGTGTTTTCTAACCCAAACCTGACAACCCTAGGCGGTAGCATAGAGCCTGGCTGTATACAATGGATCTTTTGGTGTATTTAGCGTGGTAGCTGGAGGCAGGTAGACAATAACAGAACACCCCGTGTGGTAACATATAACTCTCAACTCAAAACAGTTCAACACATCATCAATGACTCACAACCTCTACTGGACAATGACAGTTCTCTTTCACATATACTGGGTGGGAAATCTTTTCTTGCACACAGACAACCCCCCCAATCTCAAACAACTCCTCACCCACAATAATGCAACATATAATTTGAACATGGACACTGGTACCAGGACGATTTTGATCCTGTTCTTGGCAGACTTCACTCAGTGTTGACTCATTAAATGTGTTCAAGTCACATGTTGGCTTTTTCAGTAGATTTGGGTTTTTGATGTGGTCAGTTGAGTACAGTATATACCTGGATTGTGAATTAACACGATGGAAAATCTGCACAAATACATTGACTCTATGTGTTGAATCATAATCTAGATACATGGGGAGATTGTAAATACATTCGCAATAAAATTTTTTGAGTTGAGTAATAAATGTAAATATAGCGTGTTAGGAAAGTGTAATGAAAGTGACTGGGGAAAAAGGCCAGTATCCGAAAGGCTTTAGCACAGATCTGAACAATTCCAGGCACTAGGTCACCAATGTGACATGAAGTTTGCTGGTGGTGTTTAAAGTTCTGGTTTAAGAGGATGGGGGTGGAAGAAAATGGGCGAGGCAGCCCCTGAAAGGAAGGCCCTGCAAAAAATCCAGAACAGAGCTAATTTGTTGCTAAGATATGAGCTCTGTGCAAAGAGATCAATTGCTGCTGGCTCTTCTTTGCCTTTGCTGGGAACTTCTGCTCTCTCCTGCTGCAATCATATGAAAGCTGGAGGCAGGCAGGTGGCTGTGCTTGGTGGGGTAGGCAAAAGTAAGAGACTTTTCTCCCAAGTGTGGAAGGGGGAACAGAGAAACCTGGCCTGTACAGGAAGCAGCAGGTCTTTCAGTCTTCAAGCCAACTGTCATTGGTATTGGAATTAGGGTTGCGAGGTCTTATCTGGCTGTTGGCAGGGGGGATCAGTCTTCTCCCTGGAGTCTTGCATGCATGCACAAAGCATGCACACTGCGATGACCAGAAACCTGGCCTGTACAGGAAGCAGCAAGTCTTTCAGTCTTCAAGCCAACTGTCATTAGTATTGGAATTAGGGTTGCGAGGTCCTAT